CAGAAGAGGATTGGGAGAATGTCATATGGTCAGATGAAACCAAAATAGAACTGTTTGGTAGAAACCCAACTTGTCGTGTTTGGAGGAGAGAGAATGCTGAGTTGCATCCAAAGAACACCATACCTACTGTGAAGCATGGGGGTGGCAACATCATGCTTTGGGGCTGTTTCTCTGCAAAGGGACCAGGACGACTGATCCATGTACAGGACAGAATGAATGGGGCCATGTATCGTGAGATTTTGAGTGCAAACCTCCTTCCATCAGCAAGGGCATTGAAGATGAAACATGGCTGGGTCTTCCAACATGAAATGATCCCAAACATACCGCCCGGGCAATGAAGGAGTGGCTTCGTAAGAAGCATTTCAAGGTCCTGGAGTGGCCTAGCCAGTCTCCAGATCTCAACCCCATAGAAAACCTTTGGAGGGAGTTGAAAGTCTGTGTTGCCCAGCGACAGCCCCAAAACATCACTGCTCTAGAGGAGATCTGCATGGAGGAATGGGCCAACACACCAGCAACAGTGTGTGCCAACCTTGTGAAGACTTACAGGAAACGTTTGACCTCTGTCATTGCCAACAAAGGATATATAACAAAGTATTGAGATGAACTTTTGATATTGACCAAATACTTATTTTCCACCATAATTTGCAAATACATTCTTTCCAAATCAGCCAATGTGATTGTCTGGATTTTTTTTCTCATTTTGTCTCTCATAGTTGAGGTCTACCTATGATGCCAATTACAGGCCTCTCTCACCTTTTTAAGTGGGAGAACTTGCACAATTAGTGGCTGACTAAATACTTTTTTGCCCCACTGTATATATATAAAAAATATGCACCGCTTGTTTCTAAGGACTGTTTCCACAAAGGTTACAATCCTTCAGTGCAGAGCCAATTTTTAACACTGCACTGAAGCTCTTAACGCAACTATCCCACGTACGCTGCTAGCCAATATGTCATGATCGCAGGATCGCTGCCACCAACATGCGACGATCCCATGATCGCGACGTCCAATATGTGACGAACGCAGCGTCAGACCCCAGCCCTTCTCACCAAACTCGTGACCGAAGGACTAGCCAATCTAAAACTGCGATGTCACGTGCATAACAATGCCACTCCAGGCTGCACCCTGCACAACGATTTTCCAGCTAATGGACCACAGATCGATGTACCGGCAGCCTGAGCGATTGTTACTGGGTCAGGTTAATTACGCAATTACCCCTTCACACTGCCATCACCTCCTTGTTGTCAAAGAAAGAGGAAACTCGGCAATATCAGCTATAACACTATGATTGAAATAATCGTCTGCATAACACGGTCATAACACAGGCCATTTATACAGAGGGTTAACCTCCCTGGCGGTTTTCCCGAGTGTAGCTCGGGGTAAAATTTCTATACCACAAGCGGTAACCCCGAGCTACACTCGGGCTTACCATGCGGTGCTACTCTGGGGGTCCCTGCAGCACTTACCTTGTCCTTCGTTCCCACGATGTGTCCCCTGCAGTGTCCCCGGCCATCTCCTCCGGCCGATGCCGGCATCCGGCTTATGTGTTCCGGTCCCCGTGACGTCGGGACGTACCGGCGCCGCCGCCGCCGGCGGCGGGAAATTTAAAAAATTTATAAAAATGTCATTTTTTTTTTTCAATTTTAAATAGTAAAACATTACTTTTTCATCTCATTTCACATACATATTGTCCCTAGTGCTTTGTCCTGTGCCCTGCCTGCATTTTGTCTGTTCTTTCTGCCTGGAAACTTAGAAAAGTCCATGGCGTCCAAAAAGCGTCCCTTTACGTCAAAAGCGGTTTTAGACCGGCTAGAGAACAGCGATAGTAAATCAGAACCACTTACAGAATTGAGTGATAATGATTTGTGGGGAAATTTTCCTAAAAATTACAGCCTACAATAAAAAACTATTTCCATGCGAAAAAATGGTACCGCTTTCAGCACAAAAAATCAGAAGGAATCATACCGCCAAGGAGGTTAAACAAACAGTAGCGTTCTCTTTAGAGGCAGGGATTCGTAAATTGCAATACAGAGATATAGAAACAGTTCAACACTTTCAGAAAGAAAGATTTATTACTAAAAGGTCAAACGGGTGCAATAAAAATATTTACAGAAAAAAAGACGTAACTAAGATATATACGTATATATAAATATACAGAGAATAACAGCACAGCATGAGATAAGAGAGAGGTTAAAGGGTTACTTGCCATTAAGCCTTGGATGTAAGCAGATCAAGTTTCTGAGCAGAAGGGCACGGGTCTCCCCCAGGTGGTATTGATGTTAAAATGGGAGACCTCTTCAACTTCAACTCTTAGGCCTGACACCCTGTTTTGTGGTCCTCAGCAGGGGGTGGCCTGTAACTTTCCATCTGCACAAGTGACATTCCACCCGCGGGTAGATTATTATGAAGACAAGTCTAAGGATTGATTAGATATGAATTATGAAAGTGTACACTGAACGGTTCATGAGATCTATTTTTCTGCTTTCCTGTGTGTCCGAGACAAGGCGAGTGACCCATCAAACTGTTCGCCTGCTCATCGTCCATCTGACAATATGTCCGGTTTTTATGTAAGTCTCCCATATTTCAAGATATGAGACATAGGGGAAACATGGATTTTGAGAAGTGTTATCTGATTCCGTCACCTATGCTGAGTAGGTTCATTAGGTTGGGATCTCTTTCAACTCTTGGGAAAGCTTGCCTTATCTCTTCCGAGGTGTGAAATGGCACAGGTTCTAGGACAGCTAGGCCCCGGCTCCCTGGGGGGGCCTTTATAGCTCCTATGACCCTCCTGTGACATTTTTTAACACACACATACACTGTCACTGTGCCTCTCAGAGTGAGGGGGGAGGAAGAGTGAGGGGAGAAAAAATGGAGATTCTTAACAAAATGGCGGACTGCGTCAGTATCTGTTGCGCACGTTTGCGACAGACGAAGCCTAAGAAATCAGACTACAAAATCTTCTCCTTCACCTGGTAAACATCTTTTGTTTCTATGCTTCATGCCCTCCACATTGAGATCAAACCCCTGATATCAATAGCCTTTTTTCCTTTTCATACACTGCCAACGTTTTACCTAAGGTAATTGGAAGCATTATGATAAGGTACAGTTGCAAGAAAAAGTATGTGAACCCCTTGGGATTACGTGGAGTTTTGCATGAATTGGGCATAAAATGTGTTCTGAACGTCATCTAACTCACAACAATAGAAGAACACAGTCTGCTGAACATAATACTACACAAACATTAGATGTTGCCATGGTTTAATTGCACATAACATGTACACATTCACAGTGCAGGGAGGAAAAAGTATGTGAACCTTTGGACTTAATAACTGGTTGACCCTCCTTTGGCAGCAATAACCTCAACCAAACGCTTCCTTTAGTTGCAGATCAGACCTGCACAACGATCTGGAGTAATTTTGGACCACTCCTCTGCACAAAACTGTTTCAGTGTAGCAATATTCTTGGGATGTCTGGTGTGAATCGCTCTCTTAAGGTCATGCCACAGCATTTCAATCGGGTTGAGGTCAGGACTCTGACTGGGCCACTCCAGAAGGCGTATTCTGTGCTGTTGCAGCCATTGTTTGTTGAATTACTTGTATGCTTTGGGTCATTGTCCTGTTGCATCACCCATCCTCTGTGGAGCTTCAGTTGGCAGACAGATGGTCGTACGTTTTCCTGCAAAATGTCTTGATAAACTCTGGAATTAATTTTCCCATCAATGACAACAATCCGTCCAGGCCCTGAGGCAGCAAAGCAGCCCCAAACCATGATGCTCCCTCCGCCATGTTTTACAGTGAGGATGAGGTTTTGATGTTGGTGTGCTGTGCCTTTTTTTCTCCACACATAGTGTTGTGTGTTCTTCCCAAACAACTCAATCTTGGTTTCATCTGTCCACAGTATATTTTGCCAGTAGTGCTGTGGAACATCCAGGTGTTCTTTTGCAAACTTCAAACGTGCTGCAATATTCTTTTTGGACAGCAATGGCTTCCTCCGTGGTGTCCTCCCATGTACTCCATTCTTGTTTAATGTTTTCCTTATTGTAGATGTGTCAACAAAAATGTTAGCATGTGCCAAAGATTTCTGTAGGTCTTTAGCTGACACTCTGGGATTCTTCTTTACCTCATGCAGCATTCTGCGCTGTGCTCTTGCAGTCATTTTTACAGGACGATCACGCCTAGGGAGAGTAGCAACAGTGCTAAACTTTCTCCATTTGTAGAGTCTGTCTTACCATGGACACATGAATGTCAAGGCTTTTGGAGATACTTTTGTAACCCTTTCCAGCTTCATGAGAGTCAACAATTCTTGATCGTAGGTCTTCTGAGAGCTCTTTTCTGCGAGGCATGGTTCACATCAGACAGTGCTTCTTGAAACCAGTAAACCAAAAACAGGTGTGTGTTTTTTAAGGGCAGGACAGCTGTCAGCAACACATCCAATATCATCACACTGATTGGAGTCAAGGTTGGCTCACTCCTGGCTCCAGTTAGCTCTGGGAGAAGTCATTAAGCTAGGGCCTCACATACTTTTTCATCCCTGCACTGTGAATGTTTACATGTTATGTGCAATTAAACCATGGCAACATTGTGTAGTATTATGTTCAGAAGACTGTGTTCTTCTATTGTTGTGACTTAGATGACGTTCAGAGCACATTTTATGCCCAATTGATGCAAAACTCCACGTAATCCCAAGGGGTTCACATACTTTTTCTTGCAACTGTATTTCTTCCCTCCAAGTGCTTGTTGGTGTTGAGTCCTTTTTGTATGGTTTTTCATCAGAAAACCCTAATTCTCACTGTGGATCTGGCCTTATTTTGCTTTAACAAGGTGCTTGCTATACCAATGGAGGATGCACCTGTCTTTTAAGACCCAACTGGTGAGCTTTGTCTTCTCTGGCGAGTTCTGCTCTACACTATATCCTTGCTCTAACTTTACTTTGTCAAATCATACCTAACTTATCTATATACTTTAGGAGATATAGCCACTGCTGTGGTTAACGCCCTATTTTTTTGAATGCATGGAGCAAATGGCTGTAGCATCAACTTTTAGCTGTGATGTTTTGCTAAAAGCCTCCTGTTTCTGCAAATGTGTAGGGCACTTTGGATCAAACACTAAATTCCAGGGGCGGACTGACCATTTGGAAACTCGGGCACTGCCCGGGGCCCGGGGTCAGTAGGGGACCCTATGAGATGCCCCTAGTACCTTTTTCATAGGCTTTTTTGAGTTTGGGCAAGGACACAGTGGCCCCATGATCCCCTATTGCCCGGGGGCCCCATGAGTTGTCAGGCCGCCCCTGCTACGTTCACAAAAGTTTCACAGTCCAGTACTTTCAGCACATGACCTTTTGAGGGATAATGCCTCTTGGCACTGGTTCTTAAAAACATCTAGAATGCTACTGGTGCCATATCTTTCCCAGAAGATGAAGCCTAGTCCCTGTCAAGAAAAGTCTGTTTTTATTTCTCCACTTCCTCAACATCGAAGCTCCCCAGATTGGCTCCCAACTATGTGCAAAGTCTGTCATTCCATGTCTGCCAATTTTTGGGTAAGTCTTCCTCCACATTAAGTTACACCCCCGCTTTTCAGAATGGGGAACACCTGTTAACCTTTGTGGACATTTGGAGAGCTTTTTGGATACTTGGGCACAGGAGGTGGTGTCCCTACAACCTAGAAATGTGTTCACTGTGTCCTTCTTGTTTCTTCACTTCCAACCTTCCTAAGTCACCAAAGAGACTAGCAGATCTTTAGCAAGTCCCTTTTGAGTCTTTAGTCAGTGACCCAGTCCCTGTGGCAGATTTGGTTCCAAGGGTTTCGTTCCAGTCTGTTCATTGATCCCAAACAGAAAGGAATGACATGTGGACTGTTGTCTCTAAAAGTCAAAGTGAAAACAAAGACATCCTGCTGCTTTGATGGTCCTTTATTTAAGCTTGCAATTTCATAGGTAGCTCTACCCTCATGAGGACCACTGTGTTGTGGGTACCTCTAAGCTCTCTGCACAGCCAGGCAACAGGTATTTCTCACACAGACTTGCATCCAAGAGACAGTAATTTGTCTGTGGGCTTGGCTTTGTTTTTTATTAGAGGAAATTAACTTGGATAGGGAAATAGGGATTATGGGATGCCCAGTTGGCTTGAATCAGTGAAGGGGGGACAACTTCCTTTCTATGCACAAAGGCAGATTCTGGACTGTTCTTTTCTTGAAAGCCGTCGGTCATTGCAGATCAGTAGCAGCATCCCTTTATGGGCAAGCAACTTGCAGCCCCTCAAAAATTAGCTTAACTCCTTGTGACTACATGCAGGGATATCTTCTCTCCCCCAGTAGAGCTGCTCATAGCTCAATGTCCTGCAAACACTACCAGCCCTCCTGGCTTCTTGGAAGGATAGAGGATTGAGCCCAGTGCTGTCCTTAGAAAGCTGCCACGTGTGGCAGTCTTTCCCCTTGTAGATCCCAGAGAGTGCTGCTGTACCCACTCTGTCCTCTTTGCTCCCTGCTGCTCCAGATCCCAATCCTATTCACACTACACTGCTGAATGTATCCTCCCAAGCCCAGGATTGGAGGCTGCCCCCCCCCCCCCCAGACCTTTGGGACCCTTTCCAAGCACTGACTGTCTCCTCAGCACGCCATCTTCCACCCGACTTTCCTGTCACCCTGACTGCCATATTTATGGGCCAGTCCACCACTCTACAAGGGCTTCCAAACCTGGGATTGGCTGGACTCCCATAAACATGCAGATTAGGTCTCCACCCCATCCTACTTACTGACTTCTGGAAGGTTCTATGGACCTCCAGAGTCAGGAGGAGGCGATAGTCATAAGATGACCTGCAATAACCTGACCTCAATTACAGGCTCACACAGGTACCATGAGTCATGCACAATGATTTTACCTGCAATACACTACACTATTCTAGTAGCACACTATAGGGTGCTACACATATGTTTCCATTTTCCTCCCCTTCTTACTGTTGGGGTGGCCTGGGGCCTTTCAGGAATACCTGGTATGACTGCTCTAAGGTAACTGGCACTAAACCAGAAAATCACAAAACACTCTTTTTATGTTTCTCTGAGCTAAAATAAATAAATAAATAAATAAATAAATGTTTATGAACTGTCAGATTCAGCAGAGGCGATTAGGTCATCCTAGTGTTATAGAAAATAAAATTGCAAACATAACCATAGTAGGCAACCAGTAGCAATGTCACAAAGTAGGAGTAGGGTAAGCAGGGTCAGTTGACAGGTAGAGCAAAGGTCAAAGCTAGGAGATCAACAAGAGACAAGACAAATGGAACAATCATAAATTGGCACTGAGGAGACAAGACCGATAACTACAGAAAGTCAAGGCACAGTGCCAGTACCTGGTCCTTTCCAGAGCTTCTAACAGTTGGGATGGATATAAGCTTAGAGTACTCGGACTGTAATCCTTGTGATTTTATTAGTAATAACAGCTATATATTGAATGGTAACCCGAAAAAAACTGGCTACTGAGTGAAAGCATGAAAAATAAGTTTTGTAATTTTTTTTAAAATAATTTTAAAGGTTTTATAAGAGGCTACAGAAAAAAACAATGGGTCTGAGTTGTATGAGCAATGTTATGAAATGTACTTTGATCCCACTGTGTCTGTGATATCAGGAATTAGCATTGCTCAACCTGGAAAAGGAGCAGCGACCAGGATTGGTGGAGAGCAGCTCTGGAACATAAAAAAGGGTAAATAACCCAATATTTGGGGGGGGGGGGGGGTAGGAATAATAATTCTGTAAAACGCTCACTTCTCCAGTAACAGCCCTTTCATGCTGTCCACATAAACTTGACTCTTCCTCCCTTTAGATTGTAAGCTCCATGAGCAGGGCACTCCTTTTCCTTCTGTATTGCACTGTATTGTAATTGTACTGTCCCCCTTTATATTGTAAGTGATGTGTAAACTGTTGGCACTATATAAATCCTGTATATTATTATTATTATTATTATTAATAATAATAGTTTTGCTATACTGAATGTGGAGGGAGTGGGGGAGGAGGGAGACATGGGTTCTGATTGGTCAGGGGTGCTGTCCATTACACTGGTGCAGGCCCCATCAATGGCCTCTTGACCAGCAGCTTGTATTGTCACAGTGATTGGTGGAGAGAGACCTGGGCTCTGGATATATAGTGAGGTCACCTGCTGAGTGGCTGACCAGAGTTTGCCTTTTGTGTCATTATTATTATTATATAGGATTTATATAGTGCTAACAGTTTGCGGCGTGCTTTACAGCATGAGGGCAGCTCATTAAAGCTTACAATCTAAAAGGGAGCATCAAATGATACAAAAGGTAATAACTGTGGGGGATGAGCTGATGGAGAAAATAAAAGTACAGTTGTCAGGTGGAGGTAGGATTGGCTTCTCAGAAGAGAGAGTTTTTCAGGGATTGCCTAAAAATAGAAAAAACGTAGGTGATAGTTGGAAAGATTGGGGTGGGGAGTTTCAAAGGATTGGAGAGGTTTGAGAAAAGTTTTGGAGGTAAGCATGGGAGAAAGTGACTAGAGAAGTAGGAGGTCTTAGGTGGAACAAACGATTTGGTTGGCATCCTAATTGTTCGAGCAGGTCTATGCATGTAGTGTGGTCTCCTCCTGTTCTCTTCTGATTGGCTGACTTGATCTGGGGCCCTGTCAGGTAAGCTGAACAGGGCTCCATGATTCTAATGGTGGCCCTGAGCAATGCCATAACCATTGCTCCTTTAGTGATCCTGCCTTTGGTCGCCCCAGTGACATAATCAGTTTTGTGACATAGGCCTTATGAGAGTTTATATCTAATGTCAGCCAAATAATAACAAATGATTCAACTTCACACTGTACATTTCTATGATAGTATTTCACATTTGTTTTCACCAAAAAGCAGCCATTCTGATTAATTTTTCATGTGAAATTAGCAAATGCTAAGCTGGGAGCTGAAAGTGGAACTAAAGCCTCAGTTTTAAAAACTGTTAAAAGACAGGCTCTTTATTGCAGTATAAAATAAACCTGCCTGCCAGCTCACAGTTTTCTTTGGAATGTGCACTGAGCTTTGCACTGATCCTGTGTACCGGGGTGACTGAACTCCTGGGCAGAAGTGACACCATCCTGCACCAGTCAATGAAAGTGGTCGCTGCCTGGCATCTGAAAGAGGCCAAGTAGAAAACGCTGGTGCTGTTGAGGGACGGACGTTGGACCGCTGAGGGAAAGGTAAGTATTGCAGACTTTAGTTCTGCTGCAAAGTCTGTGTGAATTCTAACAATAAATTTCTCTTTTCTTGTTCCCTTTCGGTCTGTGAAAGAAGAGCTGATGTCTGCAGCTGGGCACAGTGCTGGATGGAAGCAGAACTCTTACTAAGGTAAAAATATTTAAAAATAAGTGTACACAGCAGAAACGTGTCAGCAAGTCCTGGCCAAAGATTCACAGACCTGCTGATTGGCTGTGTACAATCACAGCACAGAGCTCTGTGTTGACAATCAACACAGAGCTCTGTACAGATGGAACAATCTCTGTGTTTCTCATCCCTGCAAAGTCCTATGCATTGACAAAAGAGCGATTTTGGGCTCTGAAACATGTTACCACCCATCACGTTTTGATGTCACGTCCGGTTCCGGTCCTAGCGCTGCATTCTGACAGAGTTACACTATTCTAGTAGCTCTACACTATAGGATAGAAAACTTAGAGATGTAGTAGTAAAAAGCAGCACACACATTACACATAGTTAGGCACACATTTAACCCCTAAACACCCTAGATGTTAACCAGCCAGTGTCATTATTACAGTGAAAGTGTATAATATTAACACTGAATTCATGTCAATGATGATATCAGTGGCAGTTAGTATCAAATTGTCTGCCACACTATTGCAGTCCTATTATAAGTCAGTGATCACTGCCATTAGTAGTAGTAAAAAAACAATTCAAATATACATCCTATAGTTTGTAGGTGCTTTTACTTTCATAAAAACCAATCAATATACACTTATTGGGATTTTTTTTTATCAGACATGTAGCAGAATACATTTTGGCCAAAATGTATTGGATATGTTTTATAGCACAAAGTAAAAAAAAAATTTTTCTTCAAAATTTTGGTCTTTTTTTGTTTATATCACAAAAAAAATAAAAAAACCCAGTGATGATCAAACACCAACAAAAGAAAGCTCTATTTGTGTGAAAAAATTATACAAATTTTGTTTGGGTACAGCGTTGCATAACTATGCAATTATCAGTTAAAGTAGCGCAGTGCGGTATAGCAAAAAATTGCTTGGTCATGAAGGGGGTAAAATCTTCCA